AAAAAAAAAAAAAAAGAATTTATGAGAAAACTTGGTTTCTCAGATTATTAAAAGAAAATGCACTTGTGCTACAGGGCAGCCATTTATGCTTTTGTTTCATTTTGTTGTTTTTACAATTGCATGTTTTTTACAGATCAGGAGTTTTGTATTTTTGAATTTAAAAGATATTTAATTTATTATTAAATATCAGTTCACCCCAAAGAAAAATGTTGTCTGAATTGTTTCTTGTTTTTGTCCACACAGCAAATACCTTGGTTAGTATATATTGTTGAAGAACTATTGCAACGTTGTAAAAAAATGTCTTGCCCTCAGATTTACAATTTTGCTCAATTAGCAATAGGCAAGTTATCAGGGCTAATCACACATTCTTAGGACACTCAGGAAAATGCAAAATTATCACTTCACCATGGGAACAGAGAATGATTCAGGTTTGTCATCACTTCTTATGTAGAAGAACATGGATATAAATAAATAAATAAGAATCTAGAATACACAAAATAAATTATTTGCTTTATAAAAAGATGCAGCTAAGTGCTCATGTTTATAGGAAACTTAGAAACATATCATTAACAGTAATAATCCAATTGCATAAATACCTTTTATAATTAGAAATTATTTTCTTCTAATGAAATTAATTTACAAAAATTAAATGGACTCGTTTCACCAGGAAATGCTGTGTAAGTACCTTCTTCTAAAACAGCTCATTGGCATTCTCATGTGGGTCTTATGGGGTGAACATGATGGTGCAGATGAATCTCACTGCAATACAGACTCCAAGAAGTCACAGGTTGCTGTTCCGTAGCAGCGGAAAGGACGACGCAGGCCAAATAGGGGGTGCCATTTCACACTCTAAGTAGTTGTTGCCGTGAGCAAATGGTGGCCCAGTGTGACCAGATGGTCTGTTTTTTTAAGAGTAGTTGGATATCTGAATTTTCAAATGCACTATTCCAATTGTTAAATGTCATCAAAAAATTCAATTTTTTAAAAACATGGTCTGATCCGATCAAGCACTTCACTGGCCACCAGTTGCCCACCTCTGCTTGAAGCATAAACTGCCCCATTGGAATTTGTGGTAGCTACAAAGTTCCTGTTAATACTAGAGAATACTGCAGTGGTAATGGGCCTATATGCAATGGTTATTAGGACTTGAAAATGATGTGAATAAATAGTAATCCTGACTTTAAAAACTGACTCTCTGCTTCAGGTACAAGAAAGACCAGAAATTGTCTGCAGATGGGCGCTTACAGGTTTTACACAAGGAGACGAGCCATTCGGTGTTCATTCCGAAGGTATGCAAGGCAGACGCAGGCCTCTATGTGGCTCAGGCCCAAAACTATAGTGGCGTTCTCTCTTCCAATGTCATCCTCCACGTGACAGGTAACCACAGGCCGCCCATCACAAGAATAAACTGGATAACGCTGTGTGTCATCTATGTTAGTGTGTTCCTAGTGTACTGGCTGCTCACACTGTAACTGTGGGATTGGCACTCATGGGCGGCATTCTCATGAGCCTAAAGGACAACACAGTTGTATATTTTCCTGCATCTCCCACAAAGCATCCATCACCTACGAAGTGTACCTGCATTCTGGTCATATGGCTTGTTGGGCTAATACCACCGCTTGGTGAAATAATCAAATTTTCTTTAGTGCTTTAATGTAGTTGAGGAGCTTGGTAAATTATTAGCAGTGGATAAGGATACATTTTTGTATTCTATAAAGAGATGTGTTCGGTATAAAACACAGTAAAATTATGCTATGTTTATTCCCTCCTAATTTAACAGCATGCAGACCAAGGCTCACATCAGCATAGAGAGATGAGTTAAATTTCAAATCCAATTGTTTGATAATTTATTTTTAATTGTACTCATAAACATCTCTTCGTAGAATAATAGCAGAAATATTGAACAGAAGTTGTAATTTTCATTATTGCTTTAGCTGTCCTTTAATTTTGTTTTTCATGTCTTGATCTCATTTATTGAAATACATTCTATTTAGTTTCAACATAGCCTGCACTCCTGAATCTGAGGATGCCGCTGTAAATAATCATTCCTCATGTTGTTCTCATGGGTTTCACATTGGAGAATAGATGTGCTGTCAACTTTAAATGGAGTTTCAAACTTCCATCAGCTATGCATGTCAGACAGCAAGATGGAACAGGCTGCAGGGATGGACCAACAGTATTCCTGTCATTCCGTTGACGTGTTTTGGGCAGCCATGTATAAACAACGGCAACTGGTTCTTCCTGCTTCTAATCTTGATTCTGCTGCTGATCATTTTTGCAGCCTGTGGTAGGACATCTCAGTGCCTCAGTTTCCCATTTGGAAAATGGGTTGATCGTCTACCTCTTGGGCAATCGAGAGATTTCATTTCGCATCTTGTAAAGATCTGGAAAATGGAAAACACTCTATGAAGGCTAAGAGTAATTATATTGTTTAATGTAATTTGTCATCACACTGCCTCCTGCCCACTATTTCTCTTTCAGATGCTATTTCTTTAGAATATTAAATTAAATGAGTGGTGTTAGTGTGTGATTTCCAACTATTCCATGTGGGAAAATGATGTTTTATGAATTGGAGCTTAAATTTCTTTCTAATTTCTTAGACTATATCTTTTTCAAAGACTCGAAATTGAACTTAGGAGGATATATTTAGTATGATCTAAGGGGAAAAAGTGTGTAATAAGATGGCATAAGATGGATTCTGTCCTTTTCTTATAATTATCACTGTAATATTGAAGAATGTTCTATGCCTTCCTGAAATATATTGTTCAGAAATGAGGATCATCTTTTTGGTTTCTTTAAAAAATAAACATGAATAAGAGAGGCATTTGTTTTTAAAATTTTAAACATAGTCTTGTCATGCTAGGGTAAAATCTTTAGTTGAAAGAATAATTCATTATAGATTTTTGATGAAGAGAAAGAATTAATTATGTTGCTGTAAGACTGTCTACAAATAATAAAAATATTTAAATGTAATATATTCAAGTTGATATTAAAAAGTTACTGAATGTTATCTGAAGATGTCAAATGTGTGGTTGAGTAAAAAGTTGGCATATCTTTTCTTGTGCTGCATATTCAATTTAATTAAAAAATTAAATCTCTTAATTTTCTTCCACATTTTGACAGAAACCTATTAAAAGCTTATATATACAGCATCCTAAGGAACTCATACTCTCTTATCCTTTTTGTCCAGTTTTAAGTATTTTGTGTATCTTGCCTAATTGCTATTCCCATGTTGACACTAAAGAGTAAAACCTATTCATGTCCAAAGAGGGCAGGCAGGACCAGGTAACAAATTCTCGTTCTACTTTCTATCTTTTTCTTGTTAGCGTAGCAGGATCTCCTGTCCCATTTTGTCAACTTGGTTGAATTTGTGGTTTGGAGTTGTTAGGGCATGGGAACTGCTGGTTTGCTTTACCTGATGCATGCCAGTTAGCGTTAATCCTTGGGGGAGCAGGGTGGGATATACATATATCCATAGCGTATGACCAAATAAAGCATACGAAGGCCCTGATATATTTGATGTATATATCAATTATAAGATATATATATACACACACACAGAGAGAGAGCTCAAATATTGGGAAAAACATTATACTGATATTCAAGATATAGTTCAGATAGCTGTCTGTGTATCTATCTATCTGTTTATCTATCTATCTATCATCTATCTATCCACCCATCCATCTATTCATCCATCTATTTATCCATTCATCCATCCATTTATCTATCTACTCATCCATTGATCCATCCCCCCATCCCTCCATCCATCCATCTATCTTTTTATCTATCTATCTATCTATCTATCTATCTATCTATCTATCTATCTACCTACCTACCTACCTACCTATTTTTCTGAGCTATTGTGACTATCTAGTAATTCCCACAGCAGTGAAGAATAATTAGCTATTCTTTGTTCTTCTGGTTATATTTTGACTTCAAAGACTTAAGTGCGATTTTCTTTTTTGGTAGGATTTATGTCTTGATCAAAGAATTCTCTTTAAGAAAGTATGAACTAGGGCCGGCCCCGTGGCTTAGCAGTTATGTGCGCACGCTCCGCTGTTGGCGGCCCAGCTTCGGATCCCGGGCGCGCACCAACACACTGCTTCTCCCACGGCCGCATCCCAAATACAACAACTAGAAGGATGTGCAGCTATGACATAGAACTATCTACTGGGGCTTTGGGTGGAAAATAAATAAATAAAATTATTAAAAAAAAAAAAAGAAAGTATGAACTAAAATTATTGGTTAAAAAGGAAAAACAGGAAATTCCAATAATGTTTTTAAGATATATACATTATTTCTACCCATTTACTTCTAGAGAAAATTCTAGACAGTAATATCAAAAAAACAAGAAAATGAAAATGAAAAGAAAGATTTAAAAGAATATATACATGACACCTTGAAGGAATGCAACACAAAATGTGATTTGAGCTTCCTAGAAGGAAAAATCACTGAGTTTTCCATTTCTGATTTTCTAATAAAAGGATGTATGAATACTTTGTTTGTTTGCTGAGGAAGATTAGCTCTAAGCTAACACCTGCCAGTCCTGCTCATTTTTTTTTTTTTTTTTTGGCTTGAGAAAGATTAACCCTGAGATAACAACTGTGCCAAACTTCCTCCACTTGATATGTGGGTTGCTGCCACAGCATAGCTGACGAGTGGTAAGTCCGCGCCTGGGATCCGAGTCCGCAAACCCGGGTTGCGGAAGCAGAGAGCACCAAACTTAACCACTATGCCACGGGCTGGCCCCTCCAGGAGAAATTTACTATAGGAATCCTTACATCTGAATCTCTACATATTCTATAATAGCTCAAATGTTTAGAAAAAGAGGCAGGAGAAATTTAGCTATTTCATTCAGGAATGCTAGCCATCACTTATCATCAAGACACAGGCTTAAAATAGATTACTACAAGAGCCTTGTAACTCTTCACTCAAGTTTAAATTCCTTCAAGTAGTACACAAGGCCCTGTAGTACCTGGACTCCCCTTCCCAGCCTCTGTTCCGTCTCCTCTGATTCCCCCACAGAGCGACATTTAACTTCGGGTTGTGACTCTATCATGCTCTTTCTTGTCTCCAGTCCTTGCTTCCTGGAACTGCCTTACTGTATTCTATCTTATCTGCATCTGGCTTAACTCCTGCTTCCATTTGAGACACAGCTTCCCCCAGGAAGCCTTCTGACCCATCAATTCCATTGTGGATGTTCCTGTTATGTGCACTGTCAGCGCCTGAGCTGCCCATCTCATGTTCCTTAATACACAGCATCAGAATTGCGTGTTGAGCATGTCTCCTCTGGCTAGACTGTAAGATCCTTATCAGAAGAATCTGTGACAGCCCTGTTCATCATTATATGCCCCGTACCTGAGACATAGTCACATTCAATGAATATTTCTCGAATCATCGGAGGTAAACACAGATAAACCTAGCTTCCTTTTTCTTTTTTTTTGGGGGGGGGGCGGGAATGTAAAAAGAGAAAGATGTATTTGTTACCTGATTATTCTTCCTTATTATGGACATTAGCCAACCAGGATCAGGTTCTATCCATGAAGTATTCATAAAACACTCTCACCTAATCTACAAAACTTAAATGAGAACCCTCCAGATTCTCTAGATAGACCCTGATTGAAACTTGAAGCTTGAAGATAGATGCTGGCTCTACTGGCCAAAATAATACTGAGAAAAGAGGCCACACCCAGCATCACCGTTCCTGATGTAAAGCGGATGTAATCAGGCGTAAATCATCATCAGATGTACGTGGAGAAGTGGGTGTCTCCACTCTCAGTGACTAAGTCCAAAGTGCCAGAACCAGGATTTGTGTACTTCTTCAGATGATTACACAAATTATCAATATTTTATTGTAGCTGGGGCTCAGTAATCTGGTTGTGAACAGATCTTATTTGAAACAGACATTTCATTCATATGTGTAAATATAAAAAAAGCCAAATCCAAAAACTTAAGATTATTTGAATTCCAAATGAAGGAAGGAAAAAATATCACATCTTGTTCCACTTTGTTTTTATGCATGACCACTCCTTACTAGAAATTGCCGTCTGAAGCTTTTGACATTCCCATTGTACGTACAGTATTTTAAGTGTGTCCGTGAAATGTTAGTTGAAACAAAATAAAATATCTCCTGCTAGTACACTCTGATATTGTGTGTGTCAGTGCAAATGCCAAAGCATGACAGGCTGTTTTACATTTATAATAAGCAGAATCTTGAGCTGCATCAGAGAGCAACAGATTTGTGTTCACTAAATGAAAGTGTCCTGCTTAAAGCAACGACAATTCATTTTCTCGGCTCTCATCACTTGAGATGAGATTTGAATGTTATCAGCTGTGTATGAATTCAACCTCAAAATGGAAAGCACAAAGCTGCTAATTTCGCCTTGACCCTTGAATCCTCACATCACTATTCCTTGTGTTGGTGAGAGTTTATATAACATCATGAACCACCCAAGCATCGGCAGTGAAGGTTAGGTGCATTACACTCCTCCAGATGAACAAGTCTTTAATTCTGGAGTTTGAGTGTTTGGCCAGATAGCTCTTCC